GAAAAAAATATATAAACTTTTTTTTTTTAAAGGTAGGTTTTTGATTTGCCTTTTTGTTTTTTCCCAAATTTCCATTTACAAAATGTTTTATGTACCAGATGCAATAATGGAGCACATTTGACTCCATATTTTTATTAATATTGTTTAAATCCAGACGTGTATATTTTTGTTTTTATCATTTAACAGAAAAAGAAAAAGGAACATGGATTCAGGGATCATTAACAAATTAATTAAAGAACCGGTTTTAGTCGACTTCTGAAAAGTTCGAGGTCTTATTTTAACACCCCCCCATAGAGGAGAGTTAACTATAGCTCCTCCTGCAGGCTGGTGGCCGACGGTCGACAGAAATGAACCTCTGTGTCTCGTTTTTTTTCACCCCAGGGAAGCTGGAAGTCATGGATGAATAAACTGACGTGTTTTAGATGTTGCTGCAGCTAAAGTTGAATCTATAACAAGAATCTCTATGCACTTTTGCCAGTTGTTTTAAAAAAGATCAGGAAAAGGCCGTTTATGAGAAGACATGTCAGCTGCGTGTCTTTACACGGATAGTTGTTAGTTTGGTGTTTAGAGGTCGTGGTGTTTTTCTCTCTCTGCCTGAAGCTCAGTCAGCCAGCAGGGTTCAGTTCAGGCCAAACCCACACAGACAGGCCCTGTTAGCTGCTGTGCTTTCCGTTTGTCGTGCGAGTGGCCTTAGATGCCCATAGCTCTCAGCACCACGGACAGCGCCTCTGCTCGGCGGGACGTACCTCCGCCTGTTTTCCCTGCAACGAGCAGAGCAAAGTTTGTTTGTTTGCTTTCCGTACCTCTGTGCTGCGTCTCACCTGTCGCTTTGCATCGACCTCTTAGAGGCCTGAAATATTTGGCGTTGCTGAGGCCAAATATGAGGGATCGGTTTCTGGGAATGAGTCTGGGATGCTGCTGATGGACGGGTTTGTGCGTCCGGTCAGGGCAGCCGGCGGAGGCCTCTGTGTGTTGTATACATGAAAGCGTTTGTGACTGTGGGTAGCATCCTGTCGGTTCGCCTCACCGTCAGCCTGTGTGTACGCTGCTAGGAGGAAGAGGGGGGGGTCGCTAAAGGTGCCTCCCTCTGCGTCTCCTCTGCTCCTCGACATCACCTCCTTCCTATTTTCTATCTGTCCTCCTTTCCCTTTATCAGATTCTCCTGGTTGTCACTCCTGATCAAAGACGAGCGCCGTCCTGCTGTCTTTCCGCCGTCGTTTTTGTCTCTCGCTCTGACTCCCGAATTCCATTCTGGCCCTATCGGTTCAGCCCGGACCTCGCAGACATGAGCTGAAGGGTGGCGACAGCAGAGGGAGGGGAGGGGGTGGCTGGGGGGGGGATACCCGGGACCTGAACCAGACAGGCGGTGAAACGTCACCGCACCAAAGCCAGACTCCCTGACTGTGATGGCGGCGTGTGTGTGTGTGTGTTTGGGTGTGTGTGAGGGTTCACAGCGTTGGCGGCTCAGAGCCAGCTGAGGCTGCGGCGCAGACAGACCGAGGCGGAGCTCTGCAGCTGAATGCCGGCGTGTTTGGGACCTGCATGGCTGCTGAATGAGGAAAACACCCAGGTGAGCGAGCACAGGCTGGAGCTTTGGGTTTCACACAAGTTCAGTCCTTTTTTTTGGATTGTTTTCATCTTTTAGGGAGGGACAAATATGAAGTTTTATTGTTGTTTTGCTCAGTGATGGAGATGTTCAGCGGGACGTTATCAGAGCTGCAGGTCTGAAGGTCGCCTCAGGGGTCATGTAGTTTTAAACCCGCCGCAGGCCTCAGTCTCACAACCTATTATTAAGGAGCGTGGAAAATATTTGAGAAGCGTGTTGAAACACCGAAACCTGGAGGTTTAGAAGGAACTTGATTATTTTAGGATGAAATTCTTGAAAAGGTTTCAAAATTTGCAGTTAAATCAAAACCTTAGCTGCTCACTTCTGGTTTGGAGTCTAATCATAAAGGCTGCTGAGAGGTTTTTGCAGACGACAAATACAATAAAACTAAATTTACCACAGAGCAATTGCTAAAAAATGAAATATTTAGCAGCTGCTATGGATATAGTTGGTTTCGAAGCAGTTTTTGTGGAGCTAATAAGCTGATATCAGATGCCTGTTGGTGCTCAGTCCGTCTAAGTGGCGATTATGAAAGAAAGAAGCGATGCAGAGCAAACTGCCAACGATTTGTTGAAGACATGAAGACTAAAGAAATTGGAAATTAAAATATTAATAATAACAATTGTGTGGTTGTGTTGGCCTAGTGGTTAGAACAGTGTTCTGAGAAGGTTGCAGGTACCCAGTTCGACCCCCACTGCCTGCACCCTGGGTCCCTCCCGGGTGCCTAACAATGGCAGCCCACTGCTCTGCAAGGCGATGATGGGTTAAATCCAGAGAGAGAATTTCCCCATTGTTGGACAATAAAGGGATTTACATTTTTAATTTTTATTTTTGCAATATTAATCTATTTGGTCAAGACGGTTTAGAGCGCTTGTGACGGCAACCAGGTGAGGAGTGCAGAGTTCCTCGCCTAGTGGAGCATGGTGGTGGAAGTGTCATGTTTGGGGCTGCGTAAGCGTCCATTAAAGGAATAAAAATACCAACCTGTGACGTAATGAAGAAGAGCGCGATCCCTTCCCTCCAGGAACTATATTTTTAATTTAATGATGAAACTTTTTATTAATAATTTATTTACAGAAGTATTTTTCCATCCATTATTTTGAATAAATCATCTCTCAATATCCCCAGTATTATGACCGCGACCCCAAACATTCCTCCAGGACGATCACTGGAGATAAAGGAGACATGATTCCAGACTTTTAACTGTTTGTTGGGTAGTTTTTAGATGGAGAGTAAAGAAACACAGTGTCTCCAACATCCTCCAGCTTCATGATGTTTCATCAAGGAGGACTCAATTCAATTCAGTTTATTTCTATAGCGCCAATTCACATCATGTCATCTCAAGGCACTTTCCAGTTCAACCACATCAACCAGACTCGTCTAGAGAGTCAAAGCTATGCTGTTGAAAAATGATGGCTGCAACAAATATTCACCCTTTGGGAACATTTAGACATAAATTCATTCTGGTTGCCAAGAATTTGGACATTAACGTCTGTTTGACTATTTTACGCTGTATCAAAGAGCGACATCCTCAGTTTCATCTCATCAAAAGATGAACTGAAATATTTACACAAATGTTAGAAGTGCGATGCTGTAGCTTGGTTTGTGTAGTTTGACCTTAAAGGTAGCTGTCGCTTCCACTCATCGACTCTCTGAAATGCTTCCAGGCAGAAGGATTCTTTGTATTTGTAAGTGAAAAGAGCCTTGTTTCAGCCAGCTGACCAGCAGAGGGTAACAGCACCGGGAGAAAAGCTTACGTCTATATATTCTATTTAACTGGAGAAAACTCCTGTACTTCATTTAGTATCTAATAACATTTAAAACATTCTAAATTTTTATGAAGGAGGTTTTAGAGCCTTAGCTGTACCTTCCATTTGGACCAGGCTTAGCCCATCCCAGCTTTTTTATTATTTAAAGGCAAATTAAACTGCTGTTTTACTCAATCATTCGAAAAATGTCTTTAAATTCACATTTATTCATCTTTAGGTGAATAAAGTTCATTGGAAACCCTAAACACAGGGATTTGACTAGAAGCTACACTCGTTCATGTGGATATAGCGTTAGCAACATTAGCATTTGTCATGGTTGGTCTCTTGCTCAGGAGGTCAAAGGTTACACAATCAGCAGCATTTAGCGACAACGGATTAATCCCTGATTGGTGGAATAGAGAAGTGTAGATAGCGGAGCAGGCTAACGTTAGCATCCTTCCAGGAATAATGTTAATTCAGGAGGAGGAGCAAAAAGTTAGTTTGTAGGCTTTTCTGGTTTGAATAAAGAGTCCAGAAATAAACAAGCATTTTTTTAGACTTTTTTTTTTTTTTTTTTTTTTTTTCCAGGTGACGACTCCTTGAATGGTAATTAATTCGTCTCTTCCTTCTACGGCCGCTTATCACTCAGAAAAGCAACCAGAACTGCCGTTAGCTTTACTTCCTGCAGATATGATCATGCACCGAAGTTATTCATACACCTTGCATGAATTAAAATGACCAACAAATTAGGGATGGAACGGTTTTTGAAAACCGTCCGAACCGTTCGGTTCGACTGTCTCGGTTCGTGTGTTGCGTTCGGTTCATCTTTTTTCTCATAGGCGAAGTGTTTACACTCCAGAGCAGAAGGTGGCGGTACTGCGACCAAAGCCAACCACCAGTAGTAAACAAGAAGAAGAAGAAGAAGCGAAGCAGCGTAGCCGGGTGTAGCAGAAAAAAATCAGTTGTTGTGGAGAATTGTGTGGGTATAGTGAGTGGGAAAGAACAGGAGTTGGAAGACGCGCCAGCAGCACTTTATAGGTCTGCTGTATGGGACCACTTTGCATTTAGAGTGACCTACCAACATGTCAGGCAACATGTCAGGCTAACAATCAACATGTACCGAACCGAAAACCGTGACCACGAATCCGTGAACCGAACCGTGGATTTTGTGAACCTTTCCACCCCTAATAAACACCTCATTTTATTTCAGCGTTAAATTCTGTTTAAAGTAACAGATTATAATAAAGAAATGTCTCCGTACCTTTACTGGTTGATGATTTTCCTTATTCAGACCGCACTGATTTTTAATTGGTTACTGCTCTCCTAGAAGATATTTTAAAGTCAAACCTTTATGGTTAAAGCTGGACCTTCCTCACTCCTGAGCAGTCGTCGTCTGATCAGCAATTCCCTGTTTGGTTTGAGGACCCAAGTTCTAACAGTTTTCGCCACGAGCCCAGGCTGCTGCTGACCCAACATCTGGACCTTCTGGACGGCTGTTTTGTTATCAGAACACCACAATCGATTAGAACTGAAAGTGACCTTTGCCACTAGAACGGCTCTCCTGTCGTATTTGTTTGGTGTTCTGAATTATTAATGCCTTCATGTCTAACATCCTCCTCCATCTTTCTTCCTCTCCATCCTCTCAGTCTCCATGGCGGCTCACTCTGACTCCCTGGCCTCTCACTCCAGCCCCGTCCAAATGATGGATTCTGGTCTGCTGGGGACTTTTCAAGGTATAGCTGGAAGCATTCTGCTACAAAACTCTGCTTTTTTCATTTCTACAGCTGCCACTGCTGCAGGCTTCTACATTTATTTATTTAGCTTTATTGTCTGTAAATCATAATAATTTGTACATTTACTGCAGCCGTTCCTAATGCTGCTGCTATGGACATATTTTTGCTAATTTCTAACCTCGTTCTGTTGAACATTGATTTAGTAGCTAGTGTTTTAATTAGCCTAGCAATAGATCAGTGTGAAAGAGATGTTTGTATCATTGGCATTTGCTCCATAGTTTTCTAAAGTCTCACTTAGATATTTGACCTTTAACCTGAAGTTAGTGCTAAAGTAGCATGCCTTAATTTTAGCGTATATGTTTGTTTTTAGCAGTTAGAAACTATATTTCAAATATTTTAGGCTCTAAAGAAATTCAGCACTTGGGAGTCTGCACCAGACATGTAAAAAAAGTGACATTTTTTATCTTTTTTTGTGCTTTTTACAGTAAATTCGCCTTTTAGAGATATGGTATAACAAGCTACACATTCTTAGAAAGCATAGATCCAATTGTAGACATTATCTGTGCAGAGATTGATGCAGCTGAGATAAACTAAAGGTTTCAGTAACAGATGGCTGGGTCTCCTGCCTTTGGCACCACTTGGACCAGTTTACAACTTAATGAAAGTAGAATTTTCTTGTTTATT